TGAAAAAAGTTGATATGGTTAGTTGTTAGTGGATATATTAAAATAATATTTAAAATAACATAATTAAAGTTGATTTGATGTAAAAGTAAGAGAAAATGATCAGAAGTAATTGTTAGTTAAAATTATGTGAGTAGATGAATAGTGAATTAAAGTTGTTGTGATATGTAAAATTGATTGGTTGATACTATTTAATTATATTAATAATATTGGAGATAGTGGAGTTGAGTTAAAGTTGAGTTAAATTTGAATTTTGATTGAGATTTTTACTGTAGATTATATATACAATAGCCCCCTAAATATCCTCTTATCTTGTCCAAGTATCCCTCCCCTCTTTTGTGCTATAGGGTTTGGACAGAGGCAATTTGCTCTAATTAAGTGGCTCTCTGGTATACGTTGCATTGTAGCTACACTGAACAAGCATTTCTTTTCTTTATTTTTTTTGTTGACAAGATTGACAATGAAGTTCAAATTCGTTAAAGTTTGTGTACAATGCATTCTCATTAGGGTGCTTGTTTCAAGAAGTTGGTTTAGAAGGCGCCAATTGTTGGTGTTGCCATTTCGCCCTCTTCAGTTTTGGTCGAGTAAATTCCCCTAACTGTATAATTCTTTTCATGTGAGATCATGTTAGATGAGGTTTTGCTAATTAACACATCGAAGTGCAATTATGCATACCGTGCTTGAAGTTCCGCAGTAATTCTGGTGGAGCTCTTGGTGATAATTGCGAGAGTAGATTGTTCAAGCAAGTGAGTTGCAATATTCAAAATCCATACTTAGCTGCAGAGATGCTCTTCCGCATGGTGTCCTTATCCCCTAACAAGACCTCCTTCCTCCTTTCCTGCTTCTCCAGAACCACTGATTCACCGTTTTTCCATTCCAAACGATTTAATAATCTCCAACGCTACTACGTTTGGTCGACGGTCAAGCATATTGCCACAAACCAACCAAAGAATCCCATTTCAATGGCCAGAAAGGCTACGCACGATTATTCCACCACCTCTGCCCAAGCCCTTGTCCAGGAACCTCCGAATTCGGGCACCCGAAGATCCCGGAAGAAAGCCCGCCGTGAGTCCCCAGAGATTATTCTCCGCGTGAACCTCGATCAGTGCTCCAGGAGCGGCGACTTGGATAGCGCCCTACGCTTGTACAACGAGGCCAGGGACAATAACATTCAGCTCAATGTGCATCATTACAATGTATTGCTCTATCTGTGTTCCAGCACCAGCGGTGGTGAGGTGGATGCCGGCAGGTTGGACAAAGGGTTTGAGATTTTTAAGCAGATGCAGATTGACAAGGTGGTACCCAACGAAGCAACGTTTACCAATGTCTCGAGGCTGGCAGCCGCTAAGAAGGATCCTCAACTGGCTTTCGATTTGGTCAGACAAATGAAGGATCAAGGGATAGCTCCGAAGCTTCGGTCTTACGGGCCTGTATTGTTTGGGTTCTGCGGAAATGGTCTTGCTGACAAGGCATATGAGGTGGACTCGCACATGAAGGTATGTGGGGTATCCCCTGAGGAGACCGAGCTCTGTGCTCTTCTCAGAGTTAGTTCTGAAACTGAGAGAGAGGAAAAAGTGTATGAAATGATGCACAGGTTGAGGTCGACAGTGAGGCAAGTGTCGGAGGATACTGCGGCTGTGGTGGAAGACTGGTTTAGGTCTAATAAGGCTGCCCGAGTTGGGAATGAGAAATGGGATGCGTCTAAAGTGAGGGAAGGGGTTTTGGATGGTGGGGGCGGGTGGCATGGGCAAGGGTGGTTGGGAAAGGGGAGTTGGAGAGTGATGA